ATTGAAATAAGTCTGAGAGAGACTACATGCGCTCAAACTGTGCAGCTAAGATGCTGCTCCCTGCAGAGTGAGCAAAGGGGTGCTGATCTGTGACCTGTTTTCCTGTCTTTCCAGTTCAGTTACATTCATAGGGCTGGGCTAGGGGTGAGCGTTTATGTGTGTATATAAGCTACTCGATTTGGGCTGGTCCATCCCAGGAAATTAGTCACAAGCTCCTTAGTTTCTGATCACACCTGACCCCTTAGCTGGGGACAGAGGGAGGCATGCAGGCCTGGTTGGACGGTTTTGCAACATAAAGATCACCTTGCAGCAATGACTTCATGTGGGCTTGTGCTCAGGAAATGAGCTCTCGTGATTTATCTTTCCTTCTTGCACTTCAGCCCTTGTGCACAAGGATATTCAGCCTAGGAAAACAACAGCAGGTGATGCTTCGAAAAGAGGAGCAAGAACCCACGAAGATGCAGGAACATCCATAAGCTCATTTCTCATTCACCCTACAATGAGCTGCAAATGGAGTCATCCATGGCATCAGCTAACATGGGGCTTTAATGTAGCCTGAAGTCACTGATAGTAAGTCAATACAAACAGGCAAAGCTGTAAGTGAGATCTGATCTGGATCTAACACCTTCCCCCAGGGAAGCCCAGATTTTCATGGTGTTTCCTAGGCTTCACAGCATTTCATCATGTTGTTAGATCTGATCCACAACTCATTTCTGCCATCTGGTCAGAGGCTTTACAGTCCCCTTTTCCATGCTTCACATTCCCCCCTCTTCTCTCTGTTCTTCAACCTACCCCAAGCTGGTTAAAGCTATAATAAATTAACTTGATCAAAGTAAGACATTCTTTGTCACAAGAGCTTTTCTGCTTCTTTGCCCATCCACTCTGATGGGGAAGTTTTGGGCCCAGCAATACTGGCTAAATAAGCATGTGCCCTGACTATGCACAATGAGCTGCAGCTCAGTGGTGCAGCAAAAGGGTATTAGCAATCTCTGCCTGCATCCTAAGCCAACACTCTGAGCTGTGACTAGGAATAACCAGTTTTCAGGGTTGCTTAGCTTCTAGCTCACAAGATTTAGTTTCCTAAGTCCTTTTTCCCCTAAGTGAGCTCACAGCAGTGCTGTACCAAGCTCTCCTGCAGGGACTGGTTTTCTGCTCTGCAGGCATTTCTAATGGAAAGTGAACTTCAGCACAGTATAATGATGGCTTACTCTTGCATGACTTCAAAACCCTGTTACTCTCCTAGCAGAAGTTGTCTTCTACATTCAGACACTCACTGTTCATTCTATTTTGTTTCTCGGAGGCCAGTGCACATGTAGAAATGAGTACAGTTTGTACCTTACTCTATTTTCAAAGCATCTTATCCTGTTTTTCAGATGATGAAAAAGGAGAAAATCTTGTGACTTGGTAGAGTAGGATTTCCAGATCTCTGCTTTTTACTTCTGCCTTTGGTTTACAGTGACTTGGAGGAGGTTGGTGCCCTTTGAAACAGCAGCTCCCCAGGGAAGAGGCCAGACGGAAGCAGAAGAGGCAGAAGTCAGCTTGGGGTGGGAAAAAAGAGTGAGCAGTAGGGCTCTGCAGTGTCCCCCATGGGACAGCAGCCTTTTTACAAAGGATAGCAACCGGCTGTAATCAACTCCTGCAATTAGCGGAGAGCCACTGGCGAGCACTGCCCAACTCATCTACCCCACTGCAGGGGCTGCTCCTGCTTCCAGGCTAACCCTGATCCTAGAAAAGGAGATCACAGATTTTATTGACCTTGTTCAGAGTATCTGCAGCTGTGGACTAGTCAGAAGCTTTGGTCCTTTCATGGAGATCTCTCACCTTGGCTTTGTTCCAGCACAAGAAATCACTTTCAAGGGAGAAACTGCTTTTGGTCAGGAGATGGAGGCAATGACTTTAAGCGTGCCTTGGCTACAGGAGGTTCAGCTTGATAACCTGGTCCCGTGTGGTGCTACCTGGTTGCAACACTTTGGCTCGGGATGGGATGAGAGGTAGCTAAGGTGCTGGCGGTAAGTAAGTACTCATAGCCCACAGAGTCTGCCAGTCACAAGTGAACAGATAAAGCCTGTGTAGAAGTATGTGATACTGAGTGTTCTGTTGCTCACCCAGTTTTCATCCTGGTGTTTTTCCTTTTCTCACTCCCCATCTGTAGGGACACTAGGCTCCCTGCAGCCTGGGATTCGTGAAGAAGTTCTCATGGGAACTATCATATTCTCAAAAGGCAAGTAAACATCCCAGGGTACTTATGCTGGAGCAGATGTTAGTTCTGGCCCCAGAGACCCTCTTGTTCCCACCATACCAGAACATGCTGAGCACCAATCAGCTCCATGCATCCAATCGAAGCATAAAATAAGCACTCTTGCATAAGAGCTCCCATCACAGCCTGTCTCCATCTTTCCTCCAGACAAGCCAGAGACAGAACTGGCGCTGAGATTATGCACACAGATAGTCAATGAGGCAATAAGGTGATCAAAAATAATCCCACAGCCAAATTCCTCCTGAAATCCAGAGAAATTATGTGCATGGCTAGAAATAGGACAGCAATTGTCTCAAGACAAGCCTTACCTGACCCACTGTGCAAGATGAGATTTCTTCTTAAAAGTCTAAAACCAGAGAAGAGGCTTGTTTCTTTTTTTTCTTTAAATGTTTTCTTTATTGAGCAGATATTACAAACTACCAGCCCCAATTGTCCCCAGTAGCTAGGACACCCACACTGGCTATGGTCAACAGCGGAAGACCCAGGGACATCCAGGAAAGCTATTGACATTGTCCTGTCTGTGTGCATGGACACAGTAATACAACTGGCAAACCCCTCATACCAGTTCCTCTTCCTGGTAAAAGCCTCTAGAGTCCTACACTATGCTAATGAAAATGAAATAAATGCCATCCATCTGCTGATTAATTTCTCCCCACTGAAGGGCTCTGCTGTACCTCTGCCCCTCAGCAAGCCTAACAGAGGCTGTTTTGCTTCATTAGTTTGGCTCAGCCCAAGGAACATAGTTTCCCAGCCCTGCTATGAAGTATTTACCCACCACATGGCCCAGACCCATTTTTTAACAAGGATGCTCCTTAGTCTCCTCTAGAACATCCTAAACTTGTTTTCTCCCCTATGCATCTGCCTTTTCTGTCCCAGAAATGAATCTACACCAGGTCACAGGGATTTGAAGGGGAGATTTGTATCAATCAGTTTGGCTACACTTTGCAGGTGAGGGGACTGAGGTTGCCTTCTTCAGAGGCTGTCAGAGCTTGCTCTGCTGTTCAAAATCATGTTCTGGGCCTGACTGTATCAAAGGATGAGAGAATCTAAACACAAAAATTACTCTGTGCATTTGGGGCTTGGCAGCTGTTCTCAGCTTTGTGCTTGAGCTTTGGCAGCTGTTCTCAGCTTTGTGCCACAATAAAGTGCCTCAATGCAACACCAGTGTCCAAGTAGCTAGTAAAGGCAAAGCTCAAGAACAGTTTGTCCTGTTCCTTTCCTTCTCTTCATGCCTCAGTTTCCCTGCCTAGAGAGGCAAGCTGCTCCAGAGTGGGCAGTGAGGACATAGACATAACAAGCAGCTTGGGTCTGAAGCATCACAGCAGGTAGTTGCCCAAAGTCATGATGGATGACTTTCAGGGGCCTCTAAGAGGATGCTATCTGCAGCATGTCCTGTGAGAATGAAGTGGTGTGTGCCTTAGGAGTAGGAAGGGGGCTTCTTTTCTTGCACAAAACCAGAGAAGCAGAGCTACTATTTCACCATGGAACACTCTTCCACTTGCCTCTTGGACTGTACCTATTACAGCAACACAACAAACCTCAGTATGTGTCTTTGCTTGGCAGTGCCCAGCTGGCCATGCAACAGTGCTGCAGAGAAACCCTGGGGAGTTGCTCAGGGTATTGTGGATTCCCTCCACATCTCTGCTCCACCAGGGATTTTCAAGACACAAAGATTCATCTGACTAGGGAACACTCACACGAAATCATCATAAGTGAGCAATGAAGACTGCTGAACTGTACATGCTTTTGAGCAGCTGCACATTCCCCTTTACACCAGGGACAGGAAAGGAAAACACCCTGACAGGGAAGTATTTTCTAGCTCTCTAGTCCTTAAAGACTGAAGGCACTCCCAGCTATTTCTGCTGCTTGAATTCCCTAAATCATGCCCAATAAAGTCAATATCCTACCAAGAGCTTCACAGTAACAGGTAGGGAAGCAGGTGGCTGAGAACCAGCCCTGGTGTTGCTCCAGCTGGTGAAGTCACTGATGCCTCTGAGACTTGGGGTGACAAAGCCACCTGCTCATCAGAGATGAGCACTCAGTGCTAAGAAAAGCCATTCCCATTTACATCCATGCAGTGGGACTGTGGGGGCACAAATCACAATACAATCTGTTGGTCTCTGGGCTAGGTTTGGGAAAACAGTCATTAATTTTGCATTACTTAATTTTATGGACCTGGTTTAAGCCAATCTGGGAGCCTGGTTTGTGGGATTCAGGGCTTAAAACCTCACTCTGGCTGGGAATAGTTTACTCCAGATATGTACACCTGGTTTACTAGGGTCCATCAGCCCAGTAGGATCAAGGTGTGGATCAGAGCTACATGAGAACTGCCCCTTGCTTTAAACCCTTGAGTAGATGGGAGAGATTCCTTCAGCTTCTGAGAAACACAGTATTCTAACAAATATGAATCCTGCCTGGTCCTCCTGGCCAAACATTGCCCACACAAGACAATTCTGACATCCACAACTTTGACACTCTTTAGAAGCACAACCATACCATTACAAAGGATGCCAAGCTTTTATTCCTCCATTTCTTAAGTGTTCTGAGGAGACCTGGCTCTCCAGCCCCATCACTCCCCTGTAAGCAAATGATGCTCTGGGGGTGTCCTCAGAAAAGCTGCAGAGGACTGGTTTCCAGCAGTGCTCTGCCCCGCTGTCCCCACTGGACCCTCAAGTTGACCTCCCAGTGCCCAGATACTGCACACATAAGGCGAGCAGAGTTTGTCTCCATCCCTCCCCTTTCCCAAAGGCCAAGCACCACATCCCCTAAGCTCTCCTCTTTGCTATTCATGGGGTACAACGCTCTGTTTGTTGTGGTGGGGTTCACTGCCGGTCCCTGTGGCCTCCCCCTGTTTTAAGCAGGGAGCAGCTCCTTCCCGTTCATGAATCTTCTGGTGCCTCCTCAGGTACTTCTTCAGCCGATAACGCTTCGCACAGACCCCACAATTGTAGGCCCCACCTCGGGAGTGGAGCAGCTGGTGTTTGATCAGGTGGTGCTTATGGGGGAAGCATTTCCCACACTTGGTGCACTTGCACGGCCCCATGCGGACATGGATGGTTTGGTGACGGAAAAGGTTGGCCTTCTGGTTGAAGGTCTTCTCGCACTCGGGGCACTGGTAGGGCTCCTCCTTGGTGTGAATCCTCTGATGCCGGACCAGATTTGACCGCTGGGTGAAGCTCTTCCCGCACTCGCTGCATTTGAAGGGCTCGCTCATGTGGACTCGCTGGTGGCAGATCAGCTTGCGGTTCATGCGGAAGCTCTCCCCACACTCACTGCACTTGTATGGTCCCTCACTCGTGTGGATCTTCCTGTGTCTGGTCAGGTTTGATTTCTGGTTGAAACTCTTCCCACACTCAGGACAGGGGAAAACCCGTTCACCCCTGGGAGCTCCTTTCACTGAGGGGTCTTTGGACATGGATTTCTCCCGGTTCTCCAGCATCCTCTCTTTGGTGGACAAACAGCTTTTCTTCTGCTTCTTCTCTGGGCTCTGGCTCTCCTGGTGATTGGCCTCCACATGAGGTTCCTCTTTAATTTGGATCCTCTGGATAGCATTGAGGTTTGGCTTCTGCCCATAATGCATCCCAAACTCAATGCTTTCCTGTGGTTCTTCCTTCACATGAAGCACCAGGTTACTGGCTGTGGGGACTTCCGGCTCATGCTGGCCATCAGCATCTTCTTCCTTTTTAAGCAGTCTCTCCTGTAAAGCCATCAGTGGGATCTTTCCATAGTCCAGATTTTCTGGTGGCTCTTCCTTGATGTAAAGTTTCTGGCAGGCTATTGCAGAAATGTTTGCTGTGTCATCAGTGGGTGGTCCTGGATCCTCCTTCACCTGGATTTTCCAAGGAGGACTTTTCGGATTAAATGGGATTCTAGGTATGCTACATCCCTGGGCATCTCCTTCATGGGACATATTTTCCGACACAGTCTCCTCTGACCTGAGGGAAAGATCAGGCTCCTCTTTAATCTGCATGACCTGGAGAGACACACCATTAATATGTCCCTCCAGTGGCTTTTGCTTTTGCTTAGCATGGCTCTTCTGGTGGACACTGAAATATCTCTTGGTGCTCAAGCTCTTCCCACACTCAGTACAAATGAAAGGCCCCCCATGGAGGTGTATCTTCTGGTGGGCCATCAGTGTGGCACTTTGCCCAAAGCGCCTACTGCAGTCGGGGCATTTGAAGGGCTTCTGCCTCTTGTGGATCTCTCTGTGGGTGGTGAGGGTGCCCTTCTTCACAAAGCTCTTCCCACACTTGGTGCAGGCGAACGGCCTCTTCTCCATGTGGGTCCGCATGTGGATACTGAAGTAGCTCTTTGTGCTCAGGCTCTTGCTGCAATAGCTGCAGAGGTACGGACCACCTTTGGTGTGTGTCTTCTGGTGGGCACCCAGGCATATCTCCAGATGGAAGCATCGCCCGTACTCTCCACAGCAGGAAGGTCTCTCTCCTGTGTGGATGCTCTGGTGGGTCATGAGGTGCCCTTGGGTGGTGAAGTGAAGAGCTCCTCTGCTGTGTGGATCTGCTGGTGTCTCTTCAGGTTCCCCTTCTTGCTGACGGATTTGCCGCACTCCTGACACACGTGGGTCTTCAGTGACACACGCTTAACCAAGTCCTTCATGGCAGCAGTGCCATGCACCCAGTGGTGCATGATGGAGCTGCCAAGCAGATGCCAGGTACAAAAAGGCACAGCATTATGGGGATGGACTGCCTGGGAGGCCTACAAAAACCATCAGGACACACACATCAAAGTGTACTTTAATGGATGCACTTTATTCCCTGTAGGGGAAAGGGTGCTGCTGCTGAATGCCAGCTCTGGGGCAACAAGGAGAATGTGGTCTTCTTCATTTCTCAGCCTCCTTCCAACTCAGCTTGAAGAAGCAATGTTTGTAACTCCATTTCCTGGCTATTCTGATCCCCTGGAGAGGCCTCCCTGTCATTTCTGGAGACTTGGACTAGTGGACTGAAAATATAAAGTGAAAATAGTTAGGTCGTTATTTCTTCTCCACCTCCTGTGTTCCCTATGTAAACACCACAAGCGGCACCTTCATGGTTCCATGGGAGGCTGAACTTGAGACCTTTGAAGCCATGGGCTTGGCTGGACTAGGAAGAGGCTTATTTTCCCTGGCACTGGGGGGGGGGGGGGGGATCTGTGATGAACTTGCTGCTGCAATGAGGTTTTGACTCTCCTATTGGTGCACTAGTGATTTACTCTCAGAATAGTCCTCTGTCCTTTGTCCAAGAAGATTTATAAGTGAATATTTAATTAATGCACATTTTTGATAAGTGACTGTTCACCAAACAAACCCCCCCCAAACCTAAAAGAAAACCAAACTTGGCACCACTTGCAAACCTGAAGTGTTCTGCTTTTTCCTGGCAAACCTCCATGTACAGTGGAAGACAGGTCAGTGGTGTCCTCGGGGGACAGCTGGAGAAGTGAAACATGGAAAGATAAAGTGACTTTGTCCTCCTCAGTAAGGTTCAGTTGACATCAGGGTCTGGGTTCTATGTATTTACATTTACCATGCGGAATAAATAAGTGCCAACAGAGATAGTTTTTATCAAGACTGTGAATTGCAGTAGGGAAAGAGCCAGAAAGACTGAGGGGAGACAGCGGTGCTGAAAATGACTGTCAGCAAGTGTAGGCTTTTACTGATCGTACTGATAGGTGAAGGTGAGGCTGCCAAAATCACCAGTTCTGGGGCTGGCTGCCAGCAAGGACACAAGCTCTCAATGAAACTTGTCCCTGGAGGTCTGGGTGGCTGAGAAGGCTGTGGCTGAGAAGATGAGTCCCTGGGGAGCCTGCCACTGATGTGTAAGGGAAGTGGGGAAGGAGGATGCCATGGGTCAGGGGACAAGCAATGGGAGATGTGGAGTATAAACATTCAAGCACAACTTGCAGAGTGTTACATGCTCCTCAGAGGAGAGAGGTCAGAGTGGTAAATGAAGTGGTCAGCTGATTCAGGAAACAGTTATAATGGGGAAATTTACTTCAGATTTAGTCGTGATGCTTCAGCTAAGCCATCTGTATCCCCACTGATGCAGGGAAGAGCTACCACTGAAGCACAAGAGTGCTAAACTCCCTGTGCTAGTACAGAGGTACCACAGGAAAACAAAACCAACTATTAAAAAGCGCCCCAAAACAAGTACCTGCAAAGTTATACTGAGCCAGGAAGACCAATACACACCCACTTGGAGCACCAACAAGGTTTAATGTTTGCTAGTGCAAGGGGGGACTGTGAGGGGGGGGCAGGACTTCTCCCTGGGTGGGAGAGCAGCTACGTGACATCTACAGCAGGTTTTAATTCAGCAGGCAAAGCCTCAGCTGCAGCCAGGCTGGAAAGAGGACTCAGTAAAGTTCAACAGTGTATTTTTATTGACAGAGGTCAAAACTCCCTTACTGGGGAGTATATTCAGGTGCACCTGCAGGTGAAGGGGTAGTGGGCTTGCTGCCCTGTCCACAGCCTCTCTCCTCACCACAGATGCTCACACCAGTCCCTTAGAGAAAACATCTCACCAGCAGCAGCATTTCAGTTGCCTCTGGATTTTGGCAATAAGCCACAAATCTCTAAATTCAGGTCAGAGTAAAAGGAGAAATTCCTGCTTACATTATTCCTTTTATTTTATTTTTAAAAAGTATCCAGACCCCACAGATCCAAATCCCGCCTTTATTTCCAGCTCCGCAATCCCCATGGGCTCAGCGATTGAATCCAGGGCAGAACCAGATCCCAGGGGGTTGCTTCGTCTTTTCTTTGGGCTACTCAGACCAATGAAGGGCAGTTGGCCGAAAGCATCTTACCTGAGCAGGCCATCAACCTCTGTCTGGCATTGCTCTCCTCCGGGGCAGTCTCAGTGGCACAGCAGTGTTCCTGACTCGGCTGCAAGTCGCGTTGCAGCCCCAGCTAGTCTGACCTAAAGGAAGTCTGTGGCCAGCGCAGTGAGAGCTACCGGAGGAAGGGTGAAGCGAAACAAAGACAAAGAGCAAAGGTTGAAGGGGCAGGGGAGATGCTCTCAGCATCTCGTGCCAGCTGGAAGGATTTTCACGCCACTGCCAAGGTGTTAGCGGGAGCGCAGGAAAGAAGAGGAAGAGAATCTCTCCCTGATGTGCCTCTCTTCTGCAGCGCTATATTGGTGGGAAGCTGGAAGGGTCCCCGGCTCGCACTGCCTGCTGGGAATTGTAGTTCTCCCCAGCAGTTCTGGTCCCCCACCCTGCGGTCTCTGCGCTGGCAGACGGTAGGTCAGGACCAGCCTATTTCTGCCTGTGCCAGCTGAGATCGTTTTCTTTTTATTGTTGTGGGCAGGAAAACATCCCACAGTGTTGCAAGCATCCTTCTTCCCTCCCAGGCCGATTGTCTGGGACTTGCTCCAGGAGCAGTCATAAGAGGAAAGATGCATTTCAGGGAATATTTCTGTGTCTGCAGCAGCTTGCAATCCCCCTAGGGGAGGTAGCAACCAAGGCTGGTGCCTAGATACCGGGAAAGGATCCCTTTTACTGCTCAGTGAAAGCACAAAATTGGTATGCAGATTTGACAAGGGTGGACACTGAGGCATATGGACTTGATTTAGCAGTGATTGAGCACCACCTGGGAGAGGCTGTGTCCCAGCAGGACCTCATAGAGTACAGCAAGAACTTCCTGGATCTGCCCTGTGCAATGAGGCTTAGAGACTCAGCATGAAGCTCTAGCCCAGGATGCTTCTCTGAGGGAGTTTTAGGAGCATGTGCATGGTGGAAAGCTGCTTCTGCATACCTCTTTCCTGGAGCAGGGGTTAGGGCTGTCCCATGCCTCTGAGGTTGGATAATAACACTCATTCCTGCATAAGCCAGAACCTCCTATTGTGTCCTAAATATGGCACAAGGCTGCAAACATAATGTTTTCCTCCACTTTGATTTAGGGAAACTGAGGCAGGAGGTGGTGAGGTACCTGGCTCAAGTCATGCAAGGAAGTTCAAGGTTACAGGGTTGCTGGAGTTCAGAGCTAGTTTACACACTGTATCTGCCTTGGATAAAGTCTGCTGATGTATTTCCAGTACAAGCCAGCAGTATGGGGCAGCAGCACCAGCACTGGGGTGCACCTACAGTCCAGCGTGTGTCCCAGCCCAGTGAAAGAAAAAGCCACACAAATCTAACCACTTTTATAGCAGTACATGCACAGCAGAAGATACCCAAGCCTTATTCAGTTTGCCTTACTGAAGGTCTTCTGCTTTGATTCATGAAGATGCCACAGCCCCAGACAGACAGCAGGGACCACAGTGTTAAGCAACAGTAGACCACAAGCATGCTGAGGGGAGATTCCTCATGTGCAGGATGCCTTTAGGGAACACGTCTCCGCTTTTCCATCCTTCCTATTTCCATAATACCAACACTGCGGTTGGTGCCAGTCAGCAGTTCCATCAGTCAGCCCCATCTTGGTGTGTGGCACCATGGAGGGAGTGGGATTGAGACAGTCATGGATGAAGGACACACACAGAGAAACTGGTGGGGACCATTTGTGTGACTCCTTTTCTGCCAGAGTGATCTGCTGTAAGGTGGCAGGATCATGCCATTTCAGCTGTGTCAGTGTCCGTTTGTCCACTGGGACACAATTTAGCTTATTCTAAAGTGGATGCTTCTAGTAGGGCAGATGACATGTGTTCTCAGAGATCCTGTTTCCCTCCACTGACATCTGCATTTTCGCAGGTGAGTGCCTCCATAGCTCACCCTCTTCTTCAAACAGATCAGATCTGCCTGCTGTCTCTCAGACTCTTATAGAGCCCCAAAGTCCAAGAAAATAAGAGATCAAATATGCCTTGGTATGACCTCAAGGTTTTGCCTGTGCAGTCAAATATAGACTCAGAGTACATTATGCTCATGCCCAAATGGACTTCTTAGACCGAGCTGTCAGGGCAGGGTTAGGCTATGTACAGAAATAGCCTGGCCTCTTCTAAGCCCAGTTTGGAAGTGGTGACCTGCCAGTCTGAACAGCTTCTGCTGTCCCGGGGAAACCCACTTTGGAAGTGAAGCTGTGCCATCAGCTGCAGTGACTCTGCAACATACCACTAGATGCCAGTGAAAGCTCTTTCCAGCCTGCTCCTGCTTTGAAAATCTCACACTTTCGGCAATTTAATTTGTTTTATTGTACTTTTTAAAAGGTAATCCTTCACTTTTGATCTAATAAGGCCTCCTTGCCTTGTATAGTATGTGTTTAAACGTTTTGCATACCTCCTCTCTCTCTCTCAGTTTCTCTCTGTTTCTCAAATACAGATGTATTTGCCTTTGATTGTTAGTATTTAGATGAGAACTTTTTCCCAACATCTCCCCAGACCAGAATTTACCCCTAAGCTCCTTTTCTCATCCCACTTCCTATCAAACACTCTAATTCCCCAGGACCTTCACCTCCCAAATCCTCTAGACGTTGCATTGTGACTTGAACTTCTGACATGGACAGTTGGGCCAAGAAACACAGGTGCTGGCATGGAATGTTCAAGACCTGTCCTGCTCTGGGAGATGATTCCTCATATCAGATCACCAAGAGGCAAGACATAAGTCCAGCTTGTCCAGCTATGGGAATAACAGCCTGCTGGAACAGACCTGCATGGGCAAGGGCAGGGGATTACTGAGTAGAAGCAGGCTAGTGCAGGGGTGCTGAGAATCAGTTTGCATATGTTTGGTATTTAGTGGAAAGGTGAAACGGATGAAACTTGTAGATGCTGCAGTACTAGGAAAGAAACCCTACATGGGAGATGGGTAAAATAGCAAATAAAGCTCACAGTCCTGTACAGCAGCAAGCTCTATGCTGCACTTCCCTGGTGTAGAGATCAGTACAGGACTGAAATGATCTCACATTTTATCTTCTAGCGCCTGGAGCACTGCATGTTGCAGAACAGAATCTGTCCCATGTTACCCACTGATGTTTTCACAAGCTCCAAGTCCTTGAGCAGCCTCCAGGCTTTGCACACACCATTTTTTCCCACGTGTTTGGTCAAAATCCAAGTAGACTGGACTATCTCACAAGCACTCCGAGTGGACACAAAGCCCAGCAGCTACCCAGGCTGCAGGAGGGATGTGTGTCTGTGTGTGTGTCCTTCATGTGCCTGGTGCAGCCACCCTCTCATGGCAGAGGACCACTAGGCTTAGGAACATCTTGCCCTTTGGTGTAGCATTCTCCTCCAGTGCCTGGTGCACCTCTTGCTCTCCTGATGCCGGTTGCCGTTGGAGACAAGATGTTGGACTAGATGGAGTAAAGGTCTGATCCAGGTTGACAATTTCTATGTTGCTTTTTCAGATGAATCTAACTTTATGTTTAACCAGCCAACTGACAAGGCTGCATAGGAGAAGTGAGAACTAAATTTAAGCTGAGCTGTCATATGCTCCAGTGCCTGATTAATTATACAATGAAATAAAAATGGAATTTGGCAAAATAAAGGAGGAGGGGTAAATGAAATTTTCACTGTGCTTTAGAAGGAAATATTGCCACAGGTTTTATTAAAGATGCCACAGTTAATCATATCAGGAGGCTTGAGGGCACGACGTAGCTTGTTGTGCTGGGTGCAGACAATGCTGGAAAGCTGAACAACGTGACATAGAGAGATAAGGGAGCAAGAAGCCCAGTTATTTGTTCAGGTGAGTCTGTGATTGTTTCTGAGGTTTGCAAACATGATAGGTGCCAGCCGAGCCTGAGAGAACCCCTAGCTGCCTTGCTACACTATAGATTGTTTTTATTAATTTAAGAAATAACTTTTACAGTAAGGCAAAGTGATAAAGGAGAATAAAATGTTTAAATGACAACTAACTTTCTGTGCTCTTCCAATCCCCCTGATTTTCTTTAATTGCTTTTGTGCATCTGATTAGCAAAGAAAGCTTTCCTTTTTTTCAGCCCATATCTCCTACAGCTTCATTGTGTAGCCCAAGCCTATGGTTTCCTGTCCTGCTGCCATGAAAATAATTGCGGTGTCTGTGGCTGTTTCCATATCCACCACACTCATCTGATAAGAGCTTGAAATTAATAGCTGGTTTACACACAAATGGGCCTGTCACTGATTTCCAGCCTTGCCAGATAACAACGATGTGTTTGCTTTTCTGCCCTACAAGCAGCAGGCTTCTCATTCTTGAAGACTCAGTTGTTTGATTTTGTTTTCCTGGGGAGAGCTGCAGTCAGGACTGGTGACTGCAGGGCTTCTATCAGGAGTGAGAAGGAAGGTTTATGGCTGTAATGCACCCAAATTGGAAACGCCTCCTTGCCCTGCTCTGCCCCAAGGACTGTCAGCATTTTGGGATGGCTCAAACATCACCAGGTCTTCTATTTGGTGAGCAGGGAACCGGGGTGCTACAAGGACCTTGTGACCTAGCCCTGCACTAGTCACCCTTTCATCCCCAGAGTCCCACTCTCTTCACCCTTGGTTGCAACTTTCTTTCCCAAAACGACAACCCCATCATAAGATAACTTAAAGAACCTAGTAAGGTCCAAACGACATGCCCGAGGTTGAACAGCACACCAGCAGCAGAGCAGAGAAGCATCTCAGAAGCTGATGTAAGGCATCACAGCTCTGCTGCTTAATAGAGCACCCTTCCCAGTCCCTTTCTAATACAACAGCTGCTACCCAATGCTCTTACTCTCCTGACCTCATCCCTTCTCCACAGAAAAACACCGTACGTCCTCCCTGCTGTAATCAGTAGACTTGAGTAGTGAGTGCTACTTGCCTTCTAATGTCTTTCATTCCTCACATTCTGCTGAGAGGGAATCCAGACTGTTAGGTGTTTTCCAGGCCCACATGATAAAAGTAAAGTCTGGGCATGAATCTGGCCTCTGCTGGTGCCTCAGTTTCCTTGCTGGAGGGCAGTATGGTTAAACCGAGCTGTAGGCATTACTGAGAAGGTGAAGTCTTTGCTTTCAAACGCCTGCAGCAGAGCTAGGCTCCCTGATAGTGAGCAGAGTTTATATTTAGTGGAGGAATTTCAAGGGCATGATTCATCTGCTCTAATTTAGATACCTGCCTTAGGCTGAGGTGAATCACTCCTGGGCCTCCCTGACTTGGTTTCTTCATGCTACCTAGGAAGCCTGGCTCAAGCACAGATGTGCACATACTGCTGTGTAAATCCTGTT